ACCGATAACAAAACTTTCGCGAGTTTTTTGTTTCGCTACCAATCATGGCAGTCACTATACCGTGGCCAGTAGCCATTGGCAAGTGCTATGGTCTTTGTCCGAAGATGGTTTAATTGTTTTTTCGAACCGTCGTTAATCCGGTTTTACATATTGTAGGATGTCCTTTATTGTTTGGCAACGCGTAGGGCCATTGTTTGGGAGTTTCAATTTGAGTTAGTGGGTGACTTCTAACCATTCCTACTCCAGCGGTCAGTCCGCAGGCAAACCTCTGGTTTTTTTTTTCTAAAAGCGGGCACTTTGAAATTCTGAAAGCCTAGCCCAGACAAGCTTCATCAAAATCCATCCATCAATATTTTGATGAAAACTTTTACTCAGTTGAGTTTTGGACTCGAAAGGTTTGTCGTTAAAAACGGTTTGGAATACAGATTTGGCCTTTTTTGTCTTGGCATTGATATAAAACTAGAGATTGCTTAACTCGTGAAATTTACTTAACGATCCGCGTGATGTGGAACCAAAAGGCTACTTCAATAGAATGGGCCAAGGGAGTCACCAAATGTCTATTCGCTACCTTCTATTCCTATATGACCTAACATCCAATGGAACACCCGTCAAAAATTGAATCAAAAGCCTTTACATCTTTCAGATTTTACGACATTTGTAAATTAAAAATTTTAACTGACTTCAAAAAAATTAGGAGGCTATCAAATCGTTGGAATATTTTTTTATGTATGTCACCGCATAACTTCGGACCACGTTAACCGATTTCTATAATTATTTTTTTTTTAAGATGGTACCACAGAGATGAAATAATTTTTTGTATATAAGAATTTTAGTCGGTTTCGTATTTTGCTTAAAAATTACTTGTTCGTTTCAAAATTCTGTAATTTTTTTTTAGAATTTTTTCCAATATTTTTTTTATATAGCTCTAAATATCAACTTTAAAATGAGTCCAGAAACATGTTTGTAATTACATAAAATAGTTTTTGAGATATTCAGAAAACAAACACGTAAAATCCGAGAAATTGTGATTTTTTTTTTCCTTTGTTACATGGTCAAATAAATTACCGAAATTCATCCAAATCGAAAATTGTCGACTTGAAAAGTATTTCACTGGTCTAGGAGCTGAAAGAATGTTGGAGTTGAAGCACCGAAGCTCGCACACCCTCAGTCATTTTAGAACCATATGCGTGAGGGTCAAAGAACTTTCTTCCAAGAAGCTCTTCATATTATTACTCTAAGTCCCTTCTTAAAGTTGTTTTAGCAGTCAGTAAAACCTTTTATATACTGTAACCATGCGGATCACGTCTCCTTAGGGAAGTGCCTGACCACACTCAGCTTAATTGTAGGTCAAGCACTGCGAGACATACACCGTTGGGCATCAACGAAACAAATACGTTTCTACTAGAAACTTTCTAGTACTCTTCACTAAGGAAATACATATAGGATTCCGAACTGCCCTAGACATTTTGTTGCATCTTTCGCCGGCGGACCGGTCAGTCGAATAGGTAGTATAGCGTCAACATTCTCTGGGTCGATTGACTCTTTTATACCGGACCCGCACTGTGTAAGGTGCATGAGGATGGCTGACTTGGTAAATGTTTACATACATAGATGGATCGAAAATGGACAAGGGTGTAGGCGCGGCAGAGTTTTGGAGTGTTGGCTTCAGCTGTGATAAAAGTTTGTTAACCGCTAATTTCCACATCAACGAAGGCATCAACTTTGAGGAAAGCCTTTTGTTTACCTTCTATGAAATTATCGATGAGCTCTGCACAGCCATCACTGACCTACAATAAATGTAAAAGGTTTTCGATCCAGGAACGTAAGGCAATGTCCACCAACCCGGCCTCTGCGAAGACATTATTGAAGGCTCTCTATATATTAGGGAAAACGCCGATGGATACTGTCGGTAAATCATATCTTTTTCTGCTTGCAACACAACTAATGGCGTTTTCTTTTCTACAAAAAGTGTTGCCTTTTGATCGCCCTCTTCTTAATACTGGGGCGCACAGGGCCATGAGAAGGTAGCTTTTTCCGGTAGAAATGAAAACGCCATAAGTAAGTCTATACCGAGTTTTATTCATTGTTATTAGCCTTGAAGAAGTTCTTTCCTTCAAGGCACGATTATCAAAGGTATCAAAAACGTCAGAGTAGCGGGTTTTTGCTCCTTTCACCATTTTCTTTCCGGACCAGTGGAGATATTGTCAATATCTTTCAAAATATCTAAGTACAATAAAATCCATCTTCTTACTACTATTTACTGATGTAACCGGCTTACTAAACTACCTTTTATTATCTTCCTCTCCCACAGTTTGCCACCACCTTCAGCACCAACAACTCCGACAAAGAGCTTCGCAAACAATTTCAAATTGGAGCCTAATCTTAGCGTGAAGGAGTTCAGCAAAAGTCAAACTGAAAATAGTAGCGAAGGACCGCCAGCGCCAACACGTAGGAAATACAAAAAGCGCGTGCAATTCAGTGACGCACTCAATGGTTTCCCTAAAATGAAAGACTTTTCCAACTTTTCCACGAAAGCCAAGAAACACGATCAAAAAACGAAAGGTACTGCCAGTGCCACTGGCGGCGCAAGCGATACATTGCCCGAGGTGTTGGATTGTCGCATAGCAGAGAAGATCAAGAGCGAATTGGAGGAGAAGTCCGCATCCAAAGTGCCAGCGCATCAGAATGCATTGTGTCTTAAGAAACCGGGCGAGGGCGGTGCCATGGAACAGCAAAATAATAGCGACGATGATGAGGATGAAGATGAAGAGACAGAAGCAGACGCTACCGGTGATGCAGCAAATGCAGCTCCTGCCACCGTTGCCACCGTAGCCGTTGCGGCCGCCGCTGCTGCTGTCATCGGAGACGTAGTAGATGCCAACAGTGCAGCAGCAACGCCAACTCCATCGCTCACAGCACCGTCGGTGGTTTCGGCTAGTAATTTCCGTGCGCGTGCGAAAGGCAAACGCGGTCCTAAAAACGCGCCAGCGCTGCCAGTCAACAGCTCATTTAGTAGCTTGGGCACCAGCATTGCCGACGAGGAAGAAGACGAACTCGACGCCGAGACAGATGGTGATGATGAAGATGAAGAAATGGATGAAGAGGCGTTGGCACGTGAAATGAAGAACGAACAGAATTTTGTAGAAGAAGAGGACGAACACGATATTGCCTTCCGTTCGCAGCAATCGTGTCGCGAATGCTCAATCACGCATGACTACAAAATCTGTCCATTGCGCACGTCGATTGGCACCATAACCGATGCTGTAGACCTGGCCGAGTGGATTGAACGGAAAAATCTTGAAGCCTTGGCCAAACTTAAACACGATGCACAACGGCAGGCGAAACAAGATCACGATCCAGACGATGAGGACATGGACGAGGCATCACAAATGTCCGAGCTCGAAACCAAGCCGCTTATAACTTTCGCCGAGGCGTCAGTGCCAGCCGAATTCGAGCTGCACAATGTAGAGCCGAATGTGACAGGCGTTTTTGCGCGCACAGAAGTGCGCGCTTACACCAAACTTGGCCCGCTGATCGGGCAGTTAGTACCGAGCAGCGATGTGCGCGAAGGCAGCGATATGAAATGGATTTTCGAGATATGCGAAGCTGGCGCAGAGAAGTCACAACTGTTGACATGCGACAATCCGAATACTTCTAATTGGTTGCGGTACATACGACCAGCGCCCAGTTATGAGGAGCGTAACGTTAATCTTGTATCGATTGAGCAGCAGGCATTCTTCGTCACCTGCCGCGATGTTAAGAATGGCATGGAACTGCTCTACTGGAGCGACGACTGCAATACGATGTGGCGCAAAAAGCACACGGAGAAGACGAGTAAGTGCAGTTGAAATTTAGCATTAAAACTGGGTTCGGAAGCCCCTTTCTCATCTTTCTATTTTGCTTACAGATTGTGGCGGTTGCAATTTGCGTTTCGATCATCCGCTCTATTATCGCACGCACTGCTCCATTTTTCACGATCCCTCAATGAGCCTCACCATACGCAAATACCATTGCAAAGTATGCGGCGAAGCGGTGCTCGGCAAGGACAACATCATGAAGCATGCGTCTGAGAAGCACGAAGGCAAGGGCGCTTACCAATGCCAATTTTGCAACAAGTTCTTCCTGCGGCTCAACTACTTGGAAATGCATCGCACCTACGGCTGTGCGGCCAATCCGAATCGCGCGCGCCCACTTTGTGATTTTTGTGGTCGTAAATTTTGTCAACCACAAAAGCTCAAGGCTCACATCAAGCGCATGCATAGTGGTAAGAAGAAGAAGAAGCAGAAGCACAATTCGTAATTTGCGGTAGACATTTGTATGGTCACATCTGTCGGACCGATTACTGCGCGCACAAGCGTATATGTATATGTTTGTGCGTATGTATGTATGTGTGTTTGTGCGTATGTTTGTAGCGCTTTGTAAAATGCCTGTAGTTTGTATGTAAGTAGAAAGTCCCAGTCGGCAAAATCAAAGATCTAAAGGGAGTGATTTTTTCTTCTTATTTTGCCGGCTGGGGTGCTGTGCGCATCGCATTCCGAGTACGTCTAGACTTAAGTGTATGTACCATAGTGATATTTTATTTAATGCCAGTACTAATACTCGTACATTCACTCCATCATTCGGTTCACACGACAAACTTTCATTCTATTTTCGTGTTTGGTTCGAAAATTGGTCAAACATTATTCTCATAAGTTTTCACATATGTATTTCCCTTATTTTTCACCCCTCGAAATTATATTTTAAATATCAAAAATTCTCCAGTAAATCTCGAACTCTCCTTCAGTATAAAGGAAGTTAACTTTCAGTAAGTGTAGTATCATACAGAGGCACTCGTAGTTTGCTTGCTTTGCCTTTGAATCATCTCTCCCAAGTATAGTATGTATTTATTTGAAGTAGAATATAGTTTATACATATGTATATGAAGGAATTGAACTATTTAAAAAGATTTCAAAATATTCCTCAAATTCGATCGAGAAACTGACATCCAAAACCCTTTTCGATAAAGACGTCTTAGGCTGGATAGAGAAAGCCACGAACACCTGGGTCAACTATCTTTTGTAGTCAGCTCATGAAAACTGCTTCTTACTTTTAGACACCTTAGCGAATAGATTTGTAATAGAAAAGCCAAGCGAAATGATTTAACTTTTCACTTTTATTATTTCGCGCAAAAAGTTCGATCGGAAAGGTATGAAAAGTTCGCATATGTCCTGAAAAATACCGAAAAATCCTCAAAAATTTGCGTAAAAAATCCCGAAAGCACAGAGAAAAGTCCGAGAATTTCGAAAATTAAAACACGAATAACACGTAAGCATCCAAATAAAAAATATGGGACCTGCCTAAAATGCACTTTTGGACCTAAAAGTTCTCGAAAAACACGAAAAGTACCGGAAAGGTGCGAAAAATTCTGAAAAGTCAAACAAAACCCAAAACGTGTTTAAAAATACCGACAAGAAGCTACAGACGCCGAAAAGTCGTGAAAAGCCCACAAAAATCCTTATATTTTTATAAAATTTCGAAAGGTTATGAAAAATAAATAAAAATCATAAAAATATCAATGGCTCCAAAACAAATCTTGAAAAACTCTCAAAGACCTGACAAATTCACATGTCCTAGTTTTCGACCAGCAGCGGCTGTGCAGACACGCGACTCATACGTCCAAGAGTAGTCTACATGTAGTCAGAAGCACACCCACTCTCCATTTCCCGTTAAGACCGTCCCGAGTGGGACTTTTTTAAATCATGAGGAAAACACTTTCTATAATAAAAGATTATTCTAATAGTATCTTCGGCGCTCGCTGAGAAAACTTGAAGCTCATTTGTGCTGAGGAGTAGACCGCAGATTCTGAAGGAATCTCCAATTCTACACCTGTCAGAAGAAATTAGTTTAGAGGAGCGCACTGCCTTGTCATTTTATCAGAAGTGCAAATCAACCTGATTTGGTAGTATTAAAAAGCAACCGAGAGTCCAGCGAGAACGAAGCAATTATTTAACGACAGAAGGTCAATTTTAGGAAAGAAAGAATTTTTTTCGGTTTTTCTGCTTCTCTTTCCCTTGAGTTCCCAAACACGTTGAAATCTCTTTGGCAGACTTATTCGTTAGTCAGCTCATTTCCCCAAACATCATACTGGACCCGTAAGTGAAGAAATCAGAGGTATATTTCTAGTAAGAGAAAAGTAAGCATATTTTCCTCCAACAGAGAACAAAAGTATCTTTTTCGAGCTAAAATATCATTATTTTTTTAATCCAATGAACACCGGAAGAGGCGGCGACTTAGGTTAGGTTAGTTGAAGTGACTGCCAGTGACCTCACTAGCACACCTAGGCCCTTAGATCATGGGCCCTCTATAATACCACGCGGAAAATTAGAAACACAGAAGTTGCCGTATGCTTACTTCGACTATGTCGGTTAAGTCTTCGTAAAATCCCTAACCCATGATTTTCGTATTCTTTTACAAAAATCAGGGCATCTGAATGAAAAGTGCCACAAAGTTTCTTGCTCTTCTTCATTGAGTTCCTCACCTCTCTGCGTGCCTTCCGATGGCAACATGGCCCGTTAGCACACCCACGGCTGCGGTTAAGTCCCCTCTGCTCAGCATGGGGAGATCCTACGACCGTTTACAGCCCCATTTCGGCCACGTAAGTTTCGTTTTGCTGCAAGTGGTGAGACCAGCCCACTTGTTACTTGCTACTTTAAGAGATAGATGAAGGTAGCGAATGGCATGCCTATACCGTTCCAGGACTGCGAAAGTGGAGCGGATGTACCCTCTCTTGCAAGTTCACCTGCCTTGTTTATTCCGCTGCCCCAGCACTCAAACTAAGTGACTGCTCAGTCATCTCGTTTATAGATCTGCGACAATCCGCTGTGGTTTTTGAACTGCATGTGACTGAGTCAAGCGCTTTGAGTACGACCTGACTGTCTGAGTAGATGAAGATATTGTAACATATGACTTCTCTTGTACGTACATATGTAAGTGTTTAACAGCCTCCAGTAGCAGCGACTTCAGCTTGAAATACGCTGCAGTAGTTGGGTAAGCGAAATTATATTTCCATCCTCATTCGGTTTCAGAAGACCCTCCGCCCCTCCTACTTTGCGGTCTAGCTTAGAGCCATCGGTGTAGAGATGGAATGAACCCCTGTTTATTAGGTGCCTAACCTGACCAACTCGGTTGAGAGCCTTAGAATAGAAAACGTTCTTAGCAAGCAAGACGACTCCAACTTATAATTATCCAAAATAAGTTGTTAAGTGCTAATAGTACACAGTACCCACAATCAGATGCGCACTAGTTCTGTTGTCTCAGCGCTTATCAGCTCGCTGATCAGTTTATCCCTCAGCTCAGGTATAAGCAGTCATTGCTAGGTTTGCGCATTTTCAACAAACAAACAAAATCCTACGATCCACGTAATTTGGACATATATAACTTCCCCTTATCTACCACCCAACGTGCAAGAATACCAATAACTCATAGTTATAACCAACCAACCAACAAAATCGTAATAACTTTAAGTACATGTAATCAAACTACCATCTTGTGAACCTTTATACTAACCTCTTTGCGTAGTCTTTGCAATAAATCGTATTTACCTAGATGGATAGTAGCTGCTTTTTGGAAACGTACTAACCTTGGTGGCTGATGCTACGTGCCACCTTACATAACCTAACAACATTACGCTTTTCGTACATTGTGTTTGCTCATTTTTCTTTTATCGTTTTCAAAATCGCCACAATCCACCACAAAATTTCATTTTCTTCATAAATTTCATTTTAGATATGGCTGAAGTTTTACGAGATTTTCAGTGTAAATTATGTTCAAAACTTCTAGGATCACGCGCCGCATTGCAGCGTCACTCCAAGGAGGTGCACAGTCGCAATTCGACGGTGGTTAGCTGTCCACGATGTCAGAAGCTCTTCCAGAATCGCAGTAACTTGAAAATTCACATGCTTACACATTCGGGCGTCAGACCGTTCAAGTATGTCTCATCCTTCAGCTCAAACTCAATCTAACTAAATCTTCCATTTAAGCTTGACACAAAATCTAGCTTTGCTTATAAATTTCTCTTATTGAATTCTCGTTTTTTTTAGATGTTCCGAGCCTGAGTGTAATGCCGCTTTTACCACAAAGCAATGCCTCCAATTCCACTACAAAAAGGTACACAACTATACACAGGAACAGATGCCAAAGATCGAGCGTAGCGTCGCCTACACCTTTGACGCTTATTCGGGTGGCATGAAGGTTGACTTCTTGGGTAAGTTGCTGCGTTCATTAAAACGTTCTCTTCTTATTTTTTTACATTTCATACACATAGAACAAGCACCACGCCGACGACGTAAAAGCTTGGAAGACCAAAACTCGAGACTGAGTTCGAGCATGCAAAGCGACACAGAGTTCTCCGATGACAATATCTTTGAGGCGATCAAAAAATCCGGCAAATCGATCAAAGATCTGTGCCGCAATGAGCCTAACCTTTCGTTACTTTCCTCTAAGATCTCGAGCATATTTGGCGAAAAAGTGGTAGGCAGTCGCAAACGCAAGAAAAAGAAAGAACCGCCCACGCCTAATATGAATTTAATGGGCGCGGTGGCCGGCGCTACGGGCGTAGGTGGAGTAGGTATGGGCGTCGGTGGCACAGAGGACGAGGATGAAGACGAACATATGGAGCAGGTGCGCCGCAAGCAGGCGAATGCTCAACTCAGTCTCGTCGAGTCATTTTTGACCACGACTGCGCAACGCCTCACCGCCCAGCAGCAAGTTCAACAGGTGGTTGCCGCCGCGGCCGCGGTTTCGGCAATGGCTGGCGCTGGAGCGGCCGCTGCCGTGGATGATCCCAGTAAGATGCACATGATGTCCGGCCTAAATAGCCAGCATCACGCCATGGCTATGGGTGGACACGCAGTGGCGGGTATGCTTAACGACGATGATGACGAGGAGGACGATGAGGATGACAACGGGCAGGATGACCCGCATGATGGTGGGCATAGCGAGCAGCACGATGACAATAACAGCTACCGGCATCACGCGGGCATGAATGCGTTGGGTCAGAATTTGGTTGTGAGTAAGGGCAGCAAGAAATGGATTAGCGGTGACGATCGTCACCTGTCACGTGATTGCGCCGCCGCGGTGGATCGCTGCGGCATGGGAGGCGGAGGTGGTGGTGGTGGTGTTGGTGGCGGCATTGGCGCAGGTGTGGGAACCGATGCAGCCGTCGCAGCTGCAATGGGTGGCGCCGCAGCTGTAGCAGCCGCCTGCAGCATGGCCGGAAATAGTGGTGGTGTTGGCGTCGGCGTTGGTGTAGGAAATGACATGGGTTTGCCGACATTTGCGGTACCGCCCAGCACAGTCGACGATGCCAACAAATTGATCGGGCACAATCGAGATTTTCTGGCGCGTTTAATGAATTCAGCTAGCGCTAATCACGCGCATCACAACAATCGCGGCGAGGAGGATGAAAACTCTTCATTCCTTGATGTGGTCGAGTCTAACAATAATAATAACAACAACGGCGCTGGCGCTGGCGGTCAAATGCCGCAATATCATCACAACGGCGGCGGTGGCGGTGTAGGCGTGGGCGGAAATATCAGCAACGCGGGGAACGTGATCAACGCAGGCAATGCCAATGCTAATAGCATGGGTGGCACGGGCGCCAACAGCACACCGGGACACCAGGCAGAAGATGCTCAACTGCAAATGAACTCGTTGGCGCATTCCCAATCGTTTATGAGTTCATTTTACAACAACGCAAACGCAAGACTGAGCGGCGCCAGCAGTGCCTCAACATCGGCAAGCATGCTGGTGGAAGCGGCCTTGAACTCTGTTGGCAATATGATCGACTCGGAAAATAATGATATGAAGGTAAGCATTACCAACTTAAATATTTGTCGCGACACCTCATCTATTTTCTTTTTCATTCCGCATTTCCAGGTACCAAATGAGTCGAATATCAATACCGACAGCCCGATGAGCGCACATCATGTAGACAGCGAGACAAATCGCTTCAGCACAGATACTGCCGGCAACCACCACTCCATCAACAGCATTGATAATCTGGAAAACGAGCTAAAGATGATGAAGAATCTCAGTAACTTCCCCATGCAAATACCACCACTACCAATGTTCCCGAACTCAGGCAATACCATGACCTCCTGCAACATATCGCCCAACGCTTCGACACCGACAAACCCTCAAAGTAACCAAAACAATAATGATGTAGACGTTGATGCTGGTTCAACGCCACGCCCGCAGCATCTGAGTAGCAACGCTACTGATTCGGATGGCTTCTCCTCCGCACATCATCGCACACCGCCCTCGCCTCAGCCCATCTCACCAGGTCGCGACTATGGCATGTTCAACAATACTAATGCTTCGGGTGCCAACGGCACACCCGGCGGTCCGGGTACAGCGGGCAGCAACAGCAGCGGCAACAGTGGTAGCGGCAATAGCAACAATAACATATCAGCATCCTCGCCCCTGCCTACAATGCAGACACATAGGCGCAACGCCTCCAGCGTGAGCAGCGCATATCCAGAGCATGAGCTCATATCGCCAGCATCCTCGCCGTCCATACCACGATATAATTTCAACGGCGACATGATGCGACACAAACGCGTCGAACATGAAAGTGATAGGCGGCAAACGATTGGACATAATCCGCATCTATCTAGCGACGACGAGAACAGTATTATTCCGCAAAATAGGTAAGCGCAAATGTAACAATTTTTAATTACTCAAATGTTCATCAATCGTGCTTTTTACTTTGTCACAGCTCTGGTCAGGATATGCGTATGAAATTCTCCCAGTCACAAATGGACCTCATGTATACCAAGTACGAGAGCATGGCTGCCAATGCAGCGAGTCTCAAGTACAACAATCAAGAGCTCGACTCTCCAGCTGAGTATCGCAACGCCAGTAGCAACGCGGCATCCGGGCCCAACGCCAACGATTTGTCCGACTTGCAAGGGCTTGACATGTCACGCTCCAGCGTTAGCGCTTCCAATTATCATCACAATTTCCATCTCCCCGGCAGCGCCAGCTCAAACATAAGCGGCATTGGACGTTACCATCATCACATCTACGATATTCTCTCCGAGCGTGAGCAACAAACCCAGCAGGCTCAGACACAACAACAGCAACATCACAGTTCAGCGGTGGCAGCAGCTGCTGCTGTGGCAGCACAGCATCAACAACAACAGGAGCACTCAAGCCAGCTGGTTATGCAGCAACACCAATCCGCCATGCACAACATGCTGCCCGATCAACTAGGCGAACAGGATCACGATCAGACTACATCGGTAGACTTGAGTCGCACAGCTAATTATGTGGTGCCTTCACCACCGCAACTACCCTACAACCATCCACATCACGATATGCTACGTATGGCTTCCTTAGACTTAACGCCAAATACCAATATGTCGGTTGGCAACAATCGTTCTTTCCTCTCCTCACAGATGCAGCATCAGAGTCGTGAGAGTTTGGAACATCATCGTTTGTTGTCCACAGTGGAGCAGCATCGCATTTTAGCCGCCTCTAATGTGGCTGGCGATCAGCATCGCCTGCTCGTCGATCCCACCGCACATCTATTGATGGAGCAAAATAATCGTCTGCTGGGCACCGATCAGTCGCGCCTACTCGGCGAGACGGCCCAAAATAGGCATATGGCACGCAGTTTTGGCGCTTACCATCAGGTAGCCTCGGGCAATTATCATCCCAGCGTGCGGCCACCAGTATTGCCGTCCGCGAATCATCATACTTCCAATCCCTCAAACTATCATCCTTTCCCAGCGTACTATTAAAAGTTGAAATAGGTACTTTAAGTACGTACGTGTAAATTGAGGCCGAAGTAATTTTGAGGACACGTATGTAACTTGTAAGTGTTTTTCGTTGAGCGCCATAAGTTACACCGGAGACTTTATCTACGGATATTACCAAAAGCATAAGTGGACATCTTTAGTTTCCCGCGTTGAATAGTAAAATTTGTTCACTACCAAATCAGTCTAGTACGATCTTCTTGCTTTAATAAGAGATTTAATCGTTTTCCATCGATACTAATAAACGTTAAGATAAATTTATGAAGAGTTGAAAGATACTTCCACCAAAACAGCATATCTGGGTTGCTGACCTTATCATTTACGGTTTACGCTGTTGATTTTGCTGTGCTGGCATAACTAGTAACGCTTAGAGTTCCAGATCATTCTCTCTTTAGTCTTCCAAATTTTGATTGAATTGAATTTATTTTGCAAAAAAGGAAAAGTTGTATATACGATTGTCTTAGGAAGGACTGTGGTCTTTCGAAAGACTGTGGTGAATTAAAAGACAGTTGGCAGAATTGCCCCGTCGGTGGCTTTTAGAGTATATCGTAATTGATCGTTAGTAAAGATAGAATTCTTGGGCCGCAGAAAGCAATCAGATTATCGAAGATTGTATACAACTGTCTTTAAGGATAGCGTAGACACTTTTTCATTGTATCCGAAATTGAATCGAAGAACTTTTCGCCTCCAAAGCTAAGGTATTTCTATGGGAGGAAGATTCGTTGGTAGAAATAGACGACACAACAACTCCCTAACAAGCACGGAAGCCGAGCTTTGCACCAGTTTTATTTTGCTTTTGTTAACACGTACTTACTATGTATACTTGTTAAGCGCAGATCACCAAAAGGCATCCCTTAAGATAATTGAACCGTGTTAGCCTGTATCCAAGGAGGAACTCGAAACAGTCAACAATATAAGAGCACCCAACTTCGCTGAGCCTGATTGCAACCAGTGCTGTGACAGTTTTTGTCTGCAATGTCAACAGGAATTTTTTGTTATCATGGCGATAAACACCAGATTGAGAGTAATCGAGAGTGATGAGTATATCATAAAACATAATAAGAAATTATTTTGGACTAGAGGCCTCATCATCCCTTACTAATAGCGCCCCTGCAAGAGTGAAGGCCCTATCAGAATCGAGGGCACATTTTCGTGAGGATCTTTTACATCCTAGTGAATAAGCCCGCATTGCCCGAATTCGCAACGAGGCCGCTATTAGTCCCCATTTTAATAACAAAGTCTGAGTAATCAAATATGATCTCCAGAAATCAATCCTTAACCATAAGTGCCCCGTCATATGCATATACAATCATATCAGCTCTTCTGCTTCTTCAGCACTTCCAGTAAGTCATTTACATTCACGCTCCAGGGAAAGAGTGGTACGACGTTTGGAGTGTCTCTGTGCACTCTACGCTACATGCAGGCGATGTCCCATTCTGACGCGACAGTTCTGTTGTATTTCAAGTTTTGGTTTACCCGAGCTTATCTAGCGATTTTACTATTAGCTTCAGCAGGACGTTATTAAAAGCCCTCTTCTTTACACTGCACAGACCTGCATTCCTAAGAAACAACAAAGTTAGACTGATTATACTGATATCCTTTAGAGAACACAACAACAAAAAATGCTTTCGCCTTTAGCCCTTAGATTTTCGGACTTATACCTTGGTTATAATGCACGGGGCGAATCGTAACAAATCGCGGCGAATTCGTAAGGATCTATAGATTTTAGATGCTTCCGTTTTACATTGCGTTAAAGTGCATTACAATCGTTTGAATTCATTGCCCATACAATAGATATTTAAGTGACAGTTCACTCCGTTCCGTTACTTCCATTGTAAGCTGAATAAAGATCCCACTCGGAATACAACTCTTTTGGAGTTTATTAAGGAGTCGCCTACTTGACGCACCCAGATCAGAATTCACCTTCCTAGTTATCGAAGGGCTTCTCAATGTCTCAATACACGTTTGTACTCAAATTTCTGAAAGGTTTGCTAAGAAGACGCTCGTCGTCAGTAGGAAATTAACACCCCTATTGCGAGTGTCGACTAGTAGTAGATAAACGACTGTTAGTCGATTATCGATTATCCGTGGTATTTTAAAATTCGTTTTCTCGTTCAATAAATGCGTGTTAATACTGGGCAAATACACACATAAATCGACTTGCACCTTTAGGAATTAGCATGCAAGGGGTTGTCACTTATCCAGAGTCGCACGATAGCACGAGAGCTTTGGTCTGACAATAACAGCAGAGCTGCTATATAGGTCAATGGTAGAAGTATTTAGAATTGAAGCGACTATCACAAGTCTTTGACTGCTAGAAAAACGTGCTTATAGAATCGGTCTCCCATATGACAGAATATGCCACAGCAGCGAGGAAAAAGTATTTCTTTTCCTGTGTAAACACTCAGGTCTAACTTCTTTAAGACATACAACTATCGGGAAACACATAATGATGCAGTTGGCGGATTTGTCTAGCGCTACAAAAAGCGATATGTACAAATCAATAGGCGGTTCAAAATAATTTGTTTAAACTGCAGAAATGTTTGACAGGTAGGCTACGATAGAGCAAAATATCATTTTCCACGATAAGAGCACCAAAATGACGCTTTTACGCGCTAATTGGGTCCTAAGCTGTTATATGTAGCGCTACAACTAACCAACCAACAACTGACGTGGGTAACGGGAATTTCCTGGCTGCAGACCCATATGAACACCATGGAAGTAGTGCAGATGATTCCTATCGTTTCTTCGACATGACGATGTTATTACGAGAAGAAAGACTCAGCCAGAGGCTAAGCACATTCACTCTCAGCCGCCCGCCAAACTGCTGGGTTTCATTAGAGCACCAGAGCCGGACAAGGTCTTGTGATGGGCTCTGAGGGCGTAGTACTATTTATATTCAAGTTCGCAGTGCACATCCTCTATCAAATCTGTTATATATATAAGTATGCATTTCATTACTCTGTTGTGTCCGCAGAACGCTTCAAAGCGTCTACACAGGAGTCTTTGTTTTAAATATTCCACTTTTGAGTTATTGAAAGATATAATTCGTTTGATTAAATGATCGTTGCATTATTTGACTACAAGAAAGCACATGTTCTCCAGTATGAATAGATGCCAAGGGTTTCGCCGCTTTTTGGCCAAATAAATTGTCGTAAAATCATTGTATAGTAAACTTAGAAAAATGAAGTTTAGTAGAACTTGAAGAAGTTGTAAGAAAACGAAGTAATCTTTTGGAAGCTGTATAAGAATATAATGGGTGTGCATGTAAACATAAACTTGAAGTGCAATCTTTAAAAGTAGTTGTGGGATATACATACATAGTATGTATTTATACTATGTAAACGTATGCGTCAATCTAATATGTATTTATACTATGTAAACGTATGAAATCGTCCTATCGTTGGAATCGACCATTTTGGAATTGGATAAATTTTAGTCAGAGCATTTCTTTTATCGTATAACAAAATTCTGCCACTGCATAAAAAAAAACTTTTCAAAAGTTTAAAATTGTACAAATTTTCGAATTTCTCAAAAACTGTTATAGCAATTCTGGTCTCATATTAAAGGTGAGATATAAAAAATAGCAGAATTTAAATTTAAAAACTAAATTTTTGACAATTTTTTTTATTATACAATACCTGTATCTGATCTTTAAAAATTTTTGAAATTTTCTGTTTTTTTTAATATAAATTTTTGAACTCAAAAAAAATCCAACTCTAAATTAAATAAAAAAAAATTTTAATTAACTTTCCTTAGAGTTTTCAAGGATTTTAATTTCAAAATTCTGTAAATCTTTTTTTTCGAATTTTTGTCAAAGTTCAAAAATGTATATCTAAAAATGAAATAGCTTGGAAAATTCAGAATCTATTAAGATCGGTTGGACTAATTGTAAAAAAATGGCAAACATTTTTATAAGATTTTGTTTTTACGATTTCATTTAAAACGAACCCAAAGCCGTTTTTGTAACTACAAAATGTATTTTTTGAAATATTCCAAAAGTAAACCTGCAAAATCCCAGAAATTGTGAAACGTAGAAATTTGCATAACTTTCGAAAAACAAATTTAATTTATTTCCTTTGACAGACGTGAAGTTCTGAACAAAATTGTTCCAAGTCAAAAATGGTCAATCCCAATCATTGGACGATTTGACCTGGATTGATCCATATATAGAACAAACATTTTTCAAACTGCACTTATGGATTTATTTTCAATCTTATTTGATGGTTGCATAACTTAATGATTTTTATTCCATTAATTCAATCTACATATTTGCCGAATACTCTTGGAGAATCTGAATGATTTAAAAGTAAAAAGGCTAGTGGCCAACCGCTTGGTCTGCTAGAGAAGCCTGTATATTTAGCGATATATTTATACTATAAATAACTGTCCAACTACACCAAATTGCTGTTATTTTTTGCATACTGTTATATGTTATTGTACTTATATGTATGTATTTATGTAACATCTACTAATAAATATGTTTGTTCCTTTCCCTTGGTGGTATAATTATTAGAAAACTCTATTAAAAGTAAAGATTAATAAATCTACATACTTAGTTTTAGATAATACATACACATGTACATGCATACTACATATATGTATATGTATGTATGTAATCGAGTTAGGTTCGAAATAAAAATATTATTAAATTAAAATATTATTAAAATAATATGTGCCAATGATTAAATTAAATGAAATGTAAAGATTAAAACATTTATGTTCATTAGCAAAGTAACCATAGAAATAAGAAATACACAAAAGAGAAGCAAAATGGGATTTGCATTACACATACAAGCATCCATATGTAACCACTTGAAAAACGTGTGTATAACTATTGATACAAATAAAAGTAAAAATATGTACTACATCAAATGTTTAGGGGACATTATCATTAACGAATGTGTAGCCACAAAAAAGAAATATCTGGTAGTAGAAGTACTCAAAAAAAGAAAAAAAAAAGAATGTATATATATCTAGCCCTAACCGCGGAAATAACGTAAGCGACATTTTTTTTCAAAATTTTATTTTTGTTGCAGAAATACATCTAGATGCTCTAATAGCATTTCTGGATCAAAAGGAAAATTTTGGAAAAAAAAATGTAAGGGCTCGATGCGTCGAATAGATGCATGCGCCCAATTTGTTAATGACACTAAAATCTGCTAGAGAGCCGCTGCTTGCATATGAAAAATCACTTAAAATATTTAAAAGCATCATTTTCGCTCAAAATTTGAGAAATAAGTAATAATATAAAAACAAAAATACCAAAAAATACACAATAAAACAAAAACTGCAGATTATTCGCTATTTTTACACCCTGTATAAGCATGATTAGCATAAGATTACAAGTACAAACAACAAAACATGAGAACACACAAGAAAAAAATAGATCGAAAAACGTCACAAACAAGTAAATTTTTCACAAACAACTGGATTAATTTTTAATTATTTAACTTTTTGTTTTGTTTTTTTTTCTTATTTTATACTTTTCTATTTAATACATTGTTATTTTATTATTATTACTTGCTCATTATCTAGGGGTTTCACCCAATGTTTTCCACTTGTTTTGAAGGGACCACGCCCTTTTTCAATCACCCTCATCATGAGTATCATTTTCGCCCGTCACACCCTAATGTCGGTAGCCCCATAGATAAGAGTGGGCCAGCATCGTGCGTCATAACGTCATTCGATAAATTTTTTGTTCATTTCTTTTAATTTCAGTTAGTTTCTTGGTTTTTTTATACCAGATTTTAGAATCTAACGTTTTCTTTTATTTTTTTTTTTTTTGTGTGTGTGTTTTTTTATATTATTTTTGTCCGTCCATTGCTTCCAGCCATGCCGGAAACTGAGATGTTCGACAAGGCATGATGGTTTCTCTGTTATGGAGCAGGGAACAGTAGTGAGGGCAACAACACCGCCCAGCCGACATGACCAGCCACAGTGCTCTCATTGCGTCATGCCGCCGCCACTCATTCCCTCACTCAAGCATGCGGTTCCATAACCAATTTCCAATACTCTACGACAAATAGTTTCAGAGATATGGGGTATAAAAAATACTGTTCTTAAGGAAAGTACCACGCCTCCTTTTCTAATAACTCATACCTTTTGTCTATAAATATTGCATTGGTCTTATAAATCTCCATAAAAAATTCCACTATTCTACCACAAATATTTCCAGGGACATGCAGCGATGAAAAATTAATTTTGTATGGGTGGTGTCATGGCTCCGCCGTCATGGCATTCGCAACCCCGCCTCCGCCTGTTTCCACTAGTGATCTCTACTGGACAGAGTGTTGCGTAGTACCTACATACATGCATACAAAAGAAATATATTTATTAATTTAATACCATGCACTATATTGCATTATAGAAAACAAAAAGTGTATAATTAAAAAATTCAGTAAATAAAAAAATTCGTAACCAAATTGAATATTAAAAAAATATTTAAAATAAAAATGCCGCACATCAGGAAAATAATCTCAAGCTGTATACAAATATAAAAAAAACTAAGAAAGTCAGATACTCGTACATAAGTATACATGCAAGTATACATATGTATGTACTATATACTCGTAGTACTACGAAATCGGTCTATTGAAAAAAACAGCTATAGCCGGAGAAATCGCATTGAAGTAAATTGTTTGTCAAACAACAATTGGTGGTAATTGTAAATGGATGTGTATGTAGTATGTATGTAGTAACTATGTACCGCTGATTTTGTATGTAAATGTGTTTACTTGTCATTTAAGATCTCCCATCCTTCGTAATATACATTCACGCATACACATAAACTACATATAGTAAAGTTTAGTAATATCGTACTTAGAAACTACATATAAGAATTTACAGTTTATCTTATGGTTAGCATTTCGTGTAAATTACTTATCAAATTGCAAAAGAATAAAACAAAATAAAAACAATATATATACTTATATAACTATACATATATACATACATAAACATAATGAAAATATTACATTTAATACATTATATACCACAAACAATAAAAAGCGTATAAATAAATAAATAAAAAATGAACCTAAATTACAAATTGGTTGAAATTTTTTGTTGATTTTTTTTTTAGGAAACTAGCCAATTAATCGGTTGTGCGATAGGTTGGGCCCCGAAACGTTAAAAGAGGAAAAGGCAAAACACTGAACCTGCCTCGCACACTGACCTTGCCACACGTTGACAACCCCTGCGATCGGGAAAAGGGCTACATTTCAACTACTGGATATGTATATGTATTACAAGAAATAGTAAAAGGCTACCAATACCGCACTTCAGGAGATGCGTTGAGCGGGGCATGGCTGCAAGATATTTGCAACACGCGCCATCTGTTACAGAAACAATGAGTTATGCTACTAATTTTATTTCGTTGGGCGGAAGCTAGGCGCCAGGTTCATCCTTAACGGTGGACGAATTATTTCAAACCGCATCAAAGCAAAGTTTAATACAACATCACCCAATCAACACTAGGATGTGCAAATAAAGCATATTTGGTTCAAGAGGCAGAAGAAAATATACAAATTATACGATAACGAAGATGTTCAGGTCAACTTCGTCGCGGCAGGGAACATGCTAGCTAGTATGTAGTACCAGACACCAGCATCGAAACATCAATAAAGCCAATTGCACATTACCTGATAAACGAACTACACATCGTCACCTGAAATGCAAAAAAAGACGTAACAACATCGTAAATGAAATGGAAAAAGTGGTGACTAGTTGTTTTTTCATAAAATGATGTGGGGAGTTGTAATTCGATGAAATCCATCATACAAATCAAAAAGTGAATTTTGAATTTTTTTATTAGTTATGACTTTTTGCAATTCAACTATGATGTTTGTTACGTCTTTATGCATTTCAGGTGACGATATATAAAAACCAAATTGATCACACTGAATTAGGCAGAAGACGATTCGGGATTGCTTAACGTTCCTAGCGAAACACTAAGTAGGATAGACTCACATCGATAAGAACATGATCAGCTGTGGCTCTATAGTCTCTAGGTTCTAGGATGGACTCCTCCTTATATTTTTGTTCCTGAAACAGGAGCTACGAGGGAACTGCAATATCGTCCATCCAACGTCCCATCTCCTTCTTCTTGGTTGGCGCTGTAACCGCCTAAGCGATTTTACACGAGTTCAACAAAGCACGACAGTCGTTTCTCTTCTGCGACAACTGACGCCGCTTGGAAATGCCAATTGAACCCAAGTCCCCCACCTGGTCTAACCAACGTAGAGGAGGCCTTCCTCTTCCACTACCGGCGGGTTCCGACTTGAATATGTTCATGCCTGGAGCGTTTATGTTAATTCGTACGACATGTCCAAGTCAGCGCAGCCGCTGAATTTTAAACCGTTGCAATATGTTTATGCTCTGCGTCATATACCAAAAGTGCTTTCGTGCGTCGGGAGAGGGCTGCAAATGCCGGTTCCCTAATAAACGAAAATCTCTACTCTGTCGTAATTATAACTTTCAACAGTAGCCGCATAATGGCTACTCGTACCTCGTCATAGTCAGGGGGTTCTGACAAAAAAAAAAAATTTTTTTATTTGCACTTTTATTTCAACATACTACATAGCATGCTACATCATGATAAAAGCATAGTAAGGTAGAACCGTTCTCTCAATTCGTCGGCCACGATTTTTTTTTGAAGTTTGCCAACATTTTAAAATCATATAAAATTGAAAGTGAAAAAAGGAATTGTTCAAAGTTGTTATTGTTTGAGATTGAAAATGAGAATGTGTGTGTGAGTTTGTATGTAAAATATTAAAATTAAATTGCTTGCAAACGTCAATAATTTGAAAAATACCTCTCAACGGTTCTACCTTCCTATTTTTTTTATCATGTGCTACATAGTTTGATTAAAAATAAAATTTTTGACACAAACAGGGCTGAAATTTTTAAATTTCTGCCCGTATTTCGTTTGTAAGTCAAATATTAGTGGCATTGTGTTACTACTGCTGATAGCCAAGTAATCACGAAAAAATTTGTTGAAATTTTTCAATAGAAGATAATTGTATTGTCTTTAGGGACCCACATTCGAGATTAATTCCTGTATACGGCCCTGCCTACAACCCATTTTTAGCCACTTTTAAAATCAAATGTGGCCACCACTAAAAATAAAAATAAAAAATTAAAACGTTTCAAAATTCAAACATTTTTTTTTATTTGCCATTATAGGATGGTTCTAATGAGAGCAGTGTCAAATTCAATCACACTTTGTTGAATACATTTCGATCACGCCCGTTCGTATGAAATTGTGGCACACTGTACCTACATTAAATTTTTCGTTTAAAAATTGGGAGCAACTCTGCTTTATTTTTTTTTTTCTTTTTTCTTCTACTGAATTTTTTTTTAGTTTTTGTTTATTTGACTTCAGCAAAGTCAGTAGCAAAAAAAGAAACCAAACTATTCTACATATTAAAGATAAAATGTGTAGTAAAAAGTGAATTGTTTTAGATTGAAAATAAACAAACTAATGACATGCGGTTATCAGCACCAAGAATTTTACTTCCTCGCATTTATCAATTGAAAGATTAGACAAATTTAAAATAGCTACTATTCCTAGAAGCAAAAATTAAAAATCGCATTAACAACATAATTTCAACAACGAATTAATAGTATTGATAATAAAACATTTTTGCTGGGGAAGAACAACAACATAGCCACATTTAGTTGTAAGAGCAGATAGCCAGAGCGCCAGCAGAAAAACACTTCACGCTCTCGCTGATAAGAAGCGGACGTTGTCGGCAAAACAAAGCGCAAGCAATACACATACATGCGATTGGAGTCGCTTGGCGCAGTATTCCAGAGCAGTCATCAAGTAGCGGTCGCACTCAGCTGATCATTCAGATATTTGATCATCCAGCCACGACAACGTGTACGCTGTCAAATCTCGAGAGTTTCATTTCACGATTAAAGTGGTCACATACATACATAGGCTTGGAAGATAAGCTTTTGAAGTGTGGAAAATTGGAGACGCCGCTGCTAGTCGAAAGCTGTTGAGCGGCGAAACTATTGATTTATCTTTAAATACATATTTTAAGTAAAGTTAGTGGAAAATGTTTTGGGAGAAAAAAGAACCGGAGCCACCACCGCCACCTAGTGTTTTGCGTAGTCGATTCATTGAGTTTGTGGCGGGGTCATTGGGTAAGTGAGAAACTCATATGGAATAATAGACTATCGAATAAGTGCTACTAAGCGTGTGTATACAATAGGAGCGTTCCTTATCTCCCAGAAATAGTCAGAAAAAGTCCGAAGTAGTCAGATTTAGTCCAAAAAGCGTTCCTTAACTCGGAAATCACAGCTAAAATGAGAGAGCAACACCCAGTGAGAGTGACTCTCATCAGTCCGAAGTAGTCAGATTTAGTCAGAAGAATTTTGTCTGGCAAAATCCTGAAAAGTGTCAAACTCAACTAAATTTAAATTAACGGAAATTAAAGAATACGCTAAAAGTGAGAATAATCTAAAAAGTAAAAGAAGTGAATTGAAATTGGAAGGAGGCAAAAAATAATTGATATAGTAAGTGTTTATTGTGCTTGTGCTTGTGTGAATGTGTTTTGTACATACATTTCCATTCTTATTTGACGTTAGCTTTGTTGTTGCCATTCTTTGGACTAAAAATTTGGTTTTTTGCGTTCCTTTACTTTTCCTGTTATTCTCTTTTAGTGAGCGCATTTTGCTTACGCTCTGGCATTTTGACATTTTTCAGATTTTAGTCCAAAAAGATAAGGAATGAACCTAGTAGTGTGCTCAGCAAAGGCACGTGGGTGCCTCTCAATTTATTTATGCGCATATCAGTACATATATACAAACATACATACCCGTACATACATATGTGCGTTAGGGCGGGTCATTTTTTTTTTACTTTGCGCGTATAGCATAGGATTCTACGTGTAATTCTAACCAAATTTTCCAAAGAAACTATGGCTCTAAAATCAATTTGGAGTTGCCAAATTACGAAAATAGGCTTCGAATAAGATGTGAAAATTTTCAATGTTGCAGCCTCTGGCGAAAGTTTTAGGAAAAAAATAAGTGCAAAAATGGATTCCTCATACCAAACAACCCCTTATAGCTACAGTGACCATATTTATGGCAGCCGAATAAGGGGCCAAAAATTATTTTGGCAGTTTTTTCCACAAAATCTGGAGGATCTTAAAGCCATTTTCAATGATGCTAGCTTTATTAACCCTGAAACAGTACCTTCATTTTGCATAAATTTTTCCATCTTTTGTGAAAGCAGCATATAAATATTCCTTTGTAGCATCACACATTTGTACATAGAATATTTTTCCATAACTTTGTACTTTGTGCTCGGGACTTTTACCCCGCAAATTTTGTAACAATCATTCCAATGTAGGGAAACATGATGAAAATATTCGATTACTTTTGAAGCACGAGTGGTATTGAACGGATTATTTTCAGACTCAGAGTTCAACGTTAAATGCGTTGGAAAACCCCTTTGAGAAGCTAAATACTAGTGAAATTTCTTCAGAAATTCGAAGGATGATCAATAACGTCTGACGTCATATTCACAAATACCCAGTTTTCTACGCAAAATTATAACATAAACCATCTACATATGGGCTCCTCGATTCGATTTAAAAACAAAAACTAGTTCATAGGCATGTCGTTTTTATGAGCTGCTTAGGCGCCAATACGGGACATTAAAAGAATTACCAGGACAATCGACGAAAAAAGAGGACTGTCCCGTATAAGGCAGGACACTTATAGCATGTATTTTTATTAAATTTAAGCACTTCTCTACGACACTGCAGCAAAATCCTAAGAAACCTATTTTCGCAATTTTAGACCCATGGTTTCTTCGACAAATTCGTTTAGAATTACACGTAGAATCCTTCTGTGCTATACGCGCATAGTCGAAAAATCTCCCACACAAATTGACCCGCCCTAATATACGTACATAGTTTTTTGTTTGCATGTACTCGTATGTCGCTTTGTGTCCATCGCGTGCATTAATGAATAGCGATGTAAAAAATGATTGAGTGAAATAAAAATCGGCTATTCGTCCACAAAAATAAAAATGTTACATGTTTAATTAACAAAAATTTAAATTTACTTATATTACAGAAGTTGTTATCCTATCTGTACATATAATAAAATTGTAACAGGCCGATGTCTGTACATTATAGATATTATTAGTATTTATTAGATCGACAGAAGCCCAATCAAAAATTTTTGGAATTTTTGTCTGTCTGTCTGTCTGTATGTTTGTACGCGCATCACTCGACAACTAATGCATGGAATCGAATGCAGTCTTCAAATATAGGAAAAAAACTAGTTAGAGAGTTGCCACATGTTTGAAATTTGCAGTTTAAGTAAATTGATAAGATAAAGTAAATATTGCAATATGGCTTGCAAAAGAAACGGGTTTAAGAAGGCTTACTGCCGTCCCTAAATTGGAGCGCTAAGCGTTACATTTTCCATTGTCACAAATCTACGCGGCGTAATTTTTGACGTTTTCTCATTTATTTCCTCCCGTTTTTATTATCGTTTCCTCTTTCACTTCTTTGTCCTTTCTCTTTCTTTCCGTTTTCTGCAAACAACTTCAACATGTAACGCCCTGTCAAAAATGAAATTTCCATTTGCTCGGCGCTAGGGCCACGTTATTGTGGGGTGCTCCATACAAATTGTACAGGCATGAGGATTTTTGACAGTTGTTTGCCGCTTGATGCGCCAATTTAGGGACGGCAGTTACGGTCGAAAATATTTTTGTAGAAGGTTGCCACATCTTTGAAAATTTTAATTTGATTTAACTGATAAAATAATTCAAATATTGCAATATGGGTATCAAACTAAAGAAGTTTACAGCCAAAAATATTTTCGAGGAGAGCTGCCAACTGTTTGAAAAATTTGATTCAATTAAATTGATAATTTAAGCTAAATTATTGCAATATAGTTATTAAACGAATATTTTTTGCGCTCAGTATCAAAAACGACATATATTGAATTGATACACCTTTGAAGAAAGAGCGCCATATGTAGACTCGAGCTACAAGATTATAAATTTAATTTCGTCGTTACTTTGCCTACTCTTTAAATACCTTCGGAAATGTATTTAAAAATAAATAATGCTTTATAAATAAGATATTTGTTTGAAAAACTCACTTAAAAAGCTCTTTAAGCCCTTTAAATTTTTTATGAATGAGGTCATTTTGGGAGGGAGTAACAAGAAAAGAATACTTTAAAGGCGCAGCGAAGCATGCCGGGTATTTGCTAGTTAATAAATAATTATAAGTTCAATTAGACACGACCTTTATCTCTATTCATAATCATTTAGAGATACTGATTTGCAGACGCAATTTAAAAATACTGGCTCATTCTTTATCGATTGTTTTTTTTTCGTTTTCCTGAATTGATCAGTGATTATCATCGCAATAAATTACAAATTGTTTTATAGTGTTTTTTGTAACTTATCAACAGTATAGTATACTGACTATACAATAATCAAAAAATTAAGAATTTTTCTTCTTTTTTTTTGATACGAGCTTTTTTGCACTTTCAGGCCCATTTTTTTATGGACGAAAAAATTTTTAACGTTGGTTCCCGAAAGGCTTTTGAAAAATTTAAAAAAAAGTATATAAACTAATATCGGAGCGAATAATATTTTTGTAGAACGTAACAACGCACCATTTCATTTGGGTGGCCGCTAAAATGTTAACATTTTGCAGAAAATTATTCCTCGGAAAATTATGCGAGGGGTCATCTCAAATAAGGTTTTTATACGATTAACAAATGTCTGCTGCAGTGAGATTCTAGAAATCGCCTCGCAAAATTTCTATCGGTAAAAATCTCTGAATGAATAAGGCTTATGCCTAAAAATATGATGAAATGACGAACTGTACGACGTTCGTATGACAATCGGGTATACGTAACTGGAAGGACATATATACATATATCCAAGGACTGCAACTTTAGTTGATTCCGCAAAAACTTTTTGTCAGGGACATAACAGGTTAAAGTTTTATTGTAAAAACGTCGCTTCCTTCAGTTATTAGATGAGAAATACTTTTTTTATTTCCCCGATAAGAGTTATAACCCAACATTTTCCTTTTACATTGCCTGATAACTGTTATGCTAGATAAATATTTTTTCCCTTGCTGATAAGAGTTATTGCCCAAGGTTTATTTTTGCGTTGTCTTTATTTTACAAGGTTTATCAGACAACGTTAAAAATAAAGGTTGAAAAATAACTGTTATCAAACAAGGTAAAAAATAAACGCTGGAAAATAATTGTTAACAAACAACGTAAAAAATAAATGTTGGGTTATAACTCTTATCGGCGAAATAAAAACTATTTCTCATCTAATAACTGTTTAATTCGGGATAACAGTTATTTTTGGTCACTGCTTTTTGCAGTTTTGCAAATCATATCATTTTCCATCTTAGCCATGGTCCATCTGAATTAAGTCGTTCATTGTTTATTTGGCTTAGAATAAAATACCAAAATTCACTTAACTTCACTGATTGTTAATACATAAATACATATATATGTATGTATGTTGAGATTAACCAACCCACCAACAAATTTGCGCCTTATATAAGCCTTATTTAATATGATTTACACCTGATTTCGCCGTATTGATGTCATTGAGAATAAGGTTTAACTCTCTCTCTCAGAGAATTTAAAAAAAATATCTTAAATTTTATGTTCCGTCTGATGAGAACTGTTGTCGGGTTAGACAGTCTTGGCAGCAACCAATTGTATCAACCCAGCCAGCAACAAACGTAAATTTTACCGACAGTGCAGTCTAGTACAATTTTCCGTATCCGGAAACGAATAGAAAACGAGTTATCATTCATTTTCGTATCCGGAAAACGTTCTAAACGTTAGAAAAAGATGATGTTTTTTTGAAAGCAATAATTGTATTTTATTTGCTCAAGCTAAACATTTGAGTACATGCATGCATAGTCAGCAGTTTGTTAGCTTCCAGAAGGTGTCGGGCTCGAATTCCGTCAGGCGCTTCCTAATTTTATTTTTTTTAACCATGAAAAAGTATATGTGAAGTGCAGAACGGAAGCGTATTGAGCGAAAAATTCAATCAGACAAATTTCAGAAAAAAAAACAGCCGAAAATGTATCCGTTTCACAAACAATTTTCGGTAAGTTGTTGTTGTTGTTGTAGCGGCTACAACAACCCCGCCCAGATCGGTTGGTATCTCAGTCGTTGTCGTCAAGTTCCACTAACGGCAACCCTAGGAAGCGTGCAGCTTCTGTGGGATCTGTCCACAGGGACAGGGCCGTTAGGGTTGTCGGGTTTTCCGGGCATGCGAAGAGATGGTTCGAGTCATGTGGGGTCTCTCCGCATGCCGGACATTCGTTCGGCACATCCTCATTCAGCCTACTCAGGTAGGAGTTTAACCTGCTGCAGTAGCCGGAGCGAAGTTGAGCAAGTGTAGTGCGTGTCTCCCGAGGCAGATGAAGCTCTGTCTCGTCAATGTCCGGGGGTGGTATGCCTAGAACGGCATTCACAGGTCTAGAGTCTACATAACTCGAGACTGCGTCCCTGTGAATGCCGTTCAGGGCCTGTCTGTACGCTGTCGGGTCCAGAGGTTGCTTAATGAACCTCTGGACTTCGTCCGTCAGTTCATATAGATGCCTCCTGACGTGCCTAGGCGAGGGCTCCTCTGCAAGCAGCTGTCTGTTTGGGTGGCCACTTCTGTGGCTCCCGATCAGGAACTGCTTGCAGAGCATTATGTTGTGCTCCTTAACTGGGAGCATTTGCGCCTCGCCGTGCAAGTGATGTTCAGGCGACATCAGGAGGCATCCCGTCGCTGTCCTAAGTGCCGTATTTTGTCCAGTCTGTAGCTTCGTCCACTGCGTCCTACTAGTCCCTGGCGACCACACTGGCGCTGCGTAGTTCAAAACCGGCCGGCCTATTGCCTTGTATGTTGCCAGCAACGTTTCTTTGTCTTTGCCCCAAGTACTGCCGGCTAGCGACTTGAGGACCTTGTTGCGGCTCTGTACTTTATTGACAATAGCGGTTGAGTGCGCAGAGAAGGAGAGCAGGCTGTCGAATGTTACTCCGAGTATTTTGGGGTTATTCACCGTCGGAATTGGTGTGTCATCGACGTGAATCCCCAGCGGTAGCCTGACCTCCTTCTTCCAGGTTGTGAACAGGGTCGCGGAGGATTTCGTAGGGGAGAGGGCTAGACACTTTGCAGTGAAGAAGCGAGAAAGTTCGGAGAGATAGCCGTTTACTTTCAAACACAGGTCATCAATTCCATTCCCAGTCGCCATGATCGAGCAGTCGTCGGCATAGGAGACAATCGAGACTCCCTCTGGTGGTTGAGGGAGCTTTGAAATATAAAAGTTAAACAGTAGCGGGGAAAGGACACCACCCTGAGGAACCCCCTGTTTTATTTTTCGCTGCTTACTCGTTTTGTCTCTAAATGTACCGACGAATGTCGACCACTCAGATAATTTGCCGACCACCGTTTGAGCCTCTGTGGGAGAGAGGAGGCCTCTATATCTTCTAGCAGCGTGGAATGGCAGACGGTGTCAAACGCCTTTGACAAGTCCAACGCTACTAGAATCGTTCTCTCACAGGGACGGTTGCGGTTAAGGCCACGAGTTATCTGAGTGTTTATGGCGTTAAGTGCTGTTGTTGTACTGTGCACTTTACGGAAACCATGCTGATGCTTCGCTGGGGTCAGGTGGTTTGTGAAGTACGGGAGTAGCAAGGCCTCAAGTGTCTTCGCTACCGGGGAAAGGAGTGTAATCGGACGATACGAATCTCCTTTGTTGGCGGGTTTCCCCGGTTTGAGCAGTGGGACCACTCTCCCCACCTTCCAGATGTCTGGGATGATGAGAGTGGCCATTGACAGGTTGAGGACCTCCGTTAGGTACGCTACCCCCGCAGGACCCAAATTTTTCAGCATCAGCATGCATATTCCGTCGGGACCCATGGCTTTGGAGGCTTTCGCCTTCCCGATGGCCACCTGAACTTCACCGCAAGTGAAAGCAAGGGGGGCACAATTTGTTGGCAGTTTGTGCAGCCTTCTGGTCACTCGACGCTTGGCTTTGTCTACCGGAGGATGCAGTATGAACTGCCCGCTAAAATAGCTCGCGCATCTCTCCGGGTCCGACGAAGCATGGTCGCCGAAGGAAATTTCGATTTTGTCGTCGTGCTTCGTCGGATTAGACAATGACCTCACGGTTGACCAAAGCTTGCTCACACCAGAGGTGAAATTACAAGTCTTCAGGTGCTCCTCCCACTTCTTCCGCTTATGTACGTTTACAAGTTGCCGAATCTCCGCGTTGAGATCCCTGATACGGGGATCTCCGGGATCGGCCTGACGAAGGCTATCACGCTCATCAGCTAGAACAGCCGCTTCGGCAGGGAAGTTTGGACGTGGGTCCGATATGCATCCTGCCGGTATGAAGCGAGCTGCAGCAGCAGTGATAGCCCTGCGGAACTTACGTTCACCGAGGTGGACGTCGGTTGGTGTGGGGAGCGCTGCGAAGGTGTTTTCAGTAAACTCCGCGTAACCTTTCCAATCAGCTTTGGAAAAGTTGATATAGGTCCGGTATTTGGCGGAGGCAAAGTCGGTTGGTTTATCAATCGAGATGACTATGGGTAGATGGTCTGATGCTAGAGTCAGCATAGGTCGCCACGTTATGCTGTTTATCAGACCAGCGCTGACTATTGTGATGTCTGGCGAGCTACTGCAGTTACCCATAATCCTGGTGGGTGCGTCGTCGTTCATTGTGCAGAATGTCGAATCGTCTATCTGCTCAGCCAAGTCTGTTCCCCTACGATCGTTTGACAGGCTTGAGTGCCAAAGATCGTGGTGCGCATTAAAGTCACCTACTACCATACGGTTTTCACCTCTGAGGAGCGCACCTATATCAGGGTGATATCCTGCCGGGCAGCAGGTGACAGGGGGTATGTAAATGTTAAATATTTCGAGCTCGACATCGCCTGACCGGATAGCGATGCCCTAACATTCTAGGGTGGTATCCCTGCGGTCGATGTCTGCTTCGATAAGACGATACTGCACGGTGTGGTGCGTGATGAACGCTAAGCCACCACCATTATCTCGCTCGCGATCTCGACGGTGCACGTTGTACCCGGCGCAATTCAACAAAGTTGAATTGCTGTGCAGCTTCGTCTCTTGGACCGCAGCTATTAATATACCATGCCGACACATAAAGGCGGTTATCTCCTCAATCTTGCTCTGTAGCCCGTTACAGTTGAATTGGAGGAGCTTCATGTGGTTCGGGAGACGTGTCGTGATGTGGGGTGTGAGTGAGGTGTATGTTCTTGCCGCCGTTGGCTGTGTGTGCTGCTGAGGTGGTTGCCGCCCTGTGGTGGTGGTGGGGGGCGTCGCAATTGACGTCTGCGACCGAGCAGCACAGCACGGGCCCTCGAAATTCCCCGTCCAATCTCGCGTGGTACGCAGACCTGAACATGCCCTAAAGTGGCACCAGCCAAGGCAGGTATTGCACTTGACTGATGTCACATTACGGAATATTCTGGTCTGACATACCGTGCAGATTGTAGGGGGAACCAGGAGTTGTTGGCGGCGGCGTGTGGGTGGTGGTGCGGTTGTGTGAGTTATGTGGTCTGTGGTGGCTGTGGTACGGTCTGTGGTGTTATTATGTTGTTGTGTAGTGGCGACTGTGTGTGGTTGCTGTGTGAGTGTGTGGGGCTGCACGGGCGGACTATCGTTTGCCGTGGAGGCTGCTCTGTTTGAGCAACAGGGGGGCCACGTAGGACGTGGTCCACTGTCTGTGTGTCCGTAGTCCCGAGCAGACCCTGAGGTGACTCCACCCCTCGCAGGCATTACACCTGACTGAGGTGGAGTTGTGGTGTAATCGTCTTCGGCATACACAGCAGGTGTATATTTCTGGCCCAGGGTTTGACTCGATGCCAGCCCTGAGTAGGAGAATGCGTAGTGAATGTTGCCCTATGGACGGACAACTTCTGAGATACTTCGCCGACCTAAACGGGGTTAGATCGCCGAAACAACAGCCCTTGGTCGGGTGAAACCCGAGTCATTCCGGTACGTAGAACCGGCTGTCGTGGGAATGTTCGGTAAGTTGTCTGTGCATACGCTTCTGCCACACACTTTAGTGGGAAAACGTATCGTCAAAATATGTAGCCGAAAATGGAATCGGTAAACGGACCAAAATCCGCACTTCATCCACTTTTTTCCTTTTTCGGAGAAAGTAGATGAACTGCGGATTTTTGTCCGTTTACTGATTCCATTTTTGGATACTTTAACGATCCATTTTCCCACTAAAGTCTGCTGCAGAAACGTATGTACAGACAACTACCGAAAATTGTTTGCGAAATGGATACTTTTTCGGCTGTTTTTTCTGAAATTTGTCTGATTGAATTTTTCGTTCAATACGCTTTCCTTCTCCACTTCACAGATACTTTTTCATGGTTCAAAAAAAAATATAATAAAATGAGGAAGCTCCTGAAAGAATTCGAACCCGACACCTTCTGGAAGCTAACAAATAGCGGTACGGTCCTCTGCACGCTCAGCCGCTGCCGACTACGAATGCATTCTTTCAAATATTTAGCTTGAACAAATAAAATACAATTATTGCTTTCAAATAACATCATCTTTTTTTTTCAAACGTTTTCTACTCGTTTCCGGATACAGAAAATTGTACTAGACTGTACTGTCGCAAAATGTTCGTTTCTTATTTCTTAAAACTGCTTATATCATTTTTTTGCTGGGAAGGCAATTAGTTGATAGGATATTGAGTTCAGATTTTTGATTTCTATTTTGTTATTTTCTTCCAGGTGGCGCAGCGCAGGTGTATGTCTCCCAGCCGTTGGACACTGTCAAGGTGAAACAACAAACATTTCCATTTCTCTACAAGAATATGTTTGATTGCTTCGTTAGTACCTACAAGAAGGACGGCATTATCCATGGCCTGTATGCGGGTAGTGTTCCCGCAGTAATCGCCAATGTCGCTGAGAACTCTGTGTTATTCGCTGCCTATGGTGGTTGTCAATCATTTGTAGCATATCTTGTTGGAAAGACACACACTAATCAATTGAATACAACAGAAAATGCTTTTGCTGGCTTCTTTGCGGCATTTTTCTCGACATTCGCGCTCTGTCCAACGGAGTTGGTTAAGTGTAAATTACAGGCGATACGCGAGGTATGCTATTTAAAGTGTGCATTTAGCTATTTAAACATTGTCATTGTATTCTAATCTATTTAGTTTTACTATTAAACACTTATAGTCGGCGGAATGTTGTCCAGGCATACCAGCTAACGAACATATCACACCATGGAAGCTAACTAGAATTATTTACAAAACAGATGGTAAGTTTAATTATTTAATATGTACAAGTGAGTTCATGTTTAGATTACTATTTTTTTTTTTTTTGCTTGACTACGCCACACTAGGTATTCCCGGCTTTTTCCGCGGTCTCACGTCAACTTTTATGCGTGAAATGCCCGGCTACTATTTCTTCTTTGGCAGCTATGAGGCAACGCGCGAATTTCTTACAGAGTAATTTTATTTAGAATAATTTTAAAGGCAATATTAACACTTCACTTTCAGGCCCGGACAATCAAAGGACGAGATTGGTCCACTTAATACAATGATTGCTGGCGCTGTTGGTGGCGTTATGCTGTGGACATCGATTTTCCCTGCTGATGTTATCAAGAGTCGCATACAAGTGCAGAATCTGAATCGTGGCATGTTGTCTGTGGGTCTTGATATTTTACGCAAAGAAGGCATTTGGGCGCTTTACAATGGACTGTTGCCTTCAGTGCTGCGTACCATTCCGGCAACCGCAACACTATTTGTAGTCTATGAATATACGAAAAAGACGCTTCACGAGCACTTAGATGCGCTGAACGTTCCGAAGGACGGAAACAAGAAATAGTCGTTTGTCATAATTACTTTTAAATTGTGTTCCTTACATATGTATGTCTGTATGCACAGAATTCGCTAATTTATTTTGACATACATTCATTTGTAAATTTATGCTAAAAATTTATGGCGTTCACTAATTTTCGTTTCAAGAACTGCTGACGATCCAATGGGGTTTCTTGTGCGCGCCATTCGTGCCAATATATCTGCAATAATAAAGTAGTCGATATAGTAAATATTCGTAGTTAATTTTAAGTACAACTCAATTTAGCATAATTTGGTTTAAAAAAGCGTACAATTTAACTATGAATATGTATGTATGTAAATGTAAAATGTTGTCCATGATGAATGTATGTTCATTTTAAGATAAGAATTTGTAAGGTCAATATACATTTTATAAACTCATTAAAAACACAAAAGTTGCAAGAATGCAATATGTACGGCTTGCATTGTATTAAGAATGTCTTGAAATTATATGCATTATGGGATATATTATCAAATTGATTGAAATGTGAAGTTTTGTGAAGAGCTGATGGCAACATTTATATTTTTATCAGCTATTTCTACTAAATTAAAAAAAAAAAAACTACTCACCACAATGGGCTTGTGTCCCAGCATGCGTAACTGATTAACCTTCATCTCAAATAAGCCAGTGAATCTTTGCTTATCTTTAACAACATTATTCCAGCCAGCTATCACAATAGCAATGATGTCCACTTCCGGTCTGTCAGAATCACCTAGCAGCAGCTGGCGTGTCAAAATATCACCTGAAATAAAGAAAATGTTAATTGAAAAAACTGACCACTCCATATATTGTTTACATTATAATACCACTATAGTCCTCCGGACAGCCAGCAGCAAGTCGTATTGCTTTTCGATTTTTATTGTCATAGCAAATAACCAAATCCGGTCGCTCGAAATGTGGCAAAATATGCTTGAACGTGTTCGGTCGCAATATTCGCTCAAAAGTTTCCTTGATCTCCAGCAATATACGATCTGTATTATTTAATCTGAATTTAGAATTTCTCTCAGGTATGTATTGTGTTAACATTTTGCCCATAGAACGTCGCATTTTTTCCGATAATTGGTTGCCCGTATAACCAGAGTCCTTTAAATTTATTTTCACAAAAGAATCTAAATTGAAGATCTCACGTCCAAGTGTCACATTTTTGCCATAAGCGTGATCTATGAAACGCTTGTCCAACGCAGAAGTTAGCATCTCTTCATTATGGTATCCACATAATGTCAGATAATGCAGGCACGCCGCAAAACAACGCGGATATTTCATGACTTCATCAACTTTTGTTTGAAGCAGCGAGATAATTTTCCGACACAACTCTTGCTCGACACCAGTTGGACTGCGATAATTGAAAACGCTTATAGCCAAACATATGCGCTCCATGTCCTTGAGGCGCGCATTGGCGATTTCATTATTGAAGCGCTGTAGCACCAACTCTAGAACGCCATCATGACAACATTGCAACTCGACACCGAAAAGCGCTAAGTGCAAACAGCTCATTAATGAAATGCGCGACACTTGCTCTTGTAACACTTCCATTAGTTGCATCATTTGTGGCACTTGCGGTAATTTACTGCTATAACGCAGCACTTTTAAGATGGCGACCAGTGTTATATCGTCCACTGTCTCTGTTTCCGCTATCAATCTATTGTACAGATGATCTAATAGATCCGGATTTCGTATAGGTGTTTGTGTCTTAAAGAACCCCATCGACATGACACCCAACTCCTGCAACGACATACTATCGACACATCGCGCTAGATTCACTTCGAAGTCAAACATTTCAAAGACAGGCCGTCGTAAAACATTACAGTAGAACATGGCTTGTACTAAATGCTCGGGCTGCATGCGTCGTACCTTCCGCCCAAGCTTACGCAACGCTTCCCACACAAACTCTGCAACACGTGCCAAGTTCAGCGTATACCAGGCATCGCATGCGAGCAACAGTTCATCACTTGACCAACGATCAATGCGACGACAACACTCAACATCTAAATTGTTCCACAATTCCACATAATTATGTTCACGCACTGAATCCTCCAGTGGTAGCTGGGCTAGTTGCCGAAGTGTTGTCAATAACTCCTCGTCATTTAGCTGGTGAGTCTGCTCGCAGAAGCGTAGACAAAATTGCGTGAAACGCTGATCTGAGATGCAGGTATTCGTGTGTATGCAATATTGTGTCAAAGCGGTAAAAGCACTGAAGAGTTCTTCAATTGTAGAATCAGTATTTTTAGGGGTTAAAGCCAACGATGGAAGCTGCGGGTGCTCGGAAAAATTTTTAGTTTCTGTGCTTACATCCAGACGGAAAATTTTATACGGTTTCAGTGAGTGTTCCAACACATCGTGTGCATGTTTGTTCTCCTTATCCACAAATAGTTTAGCCGTATTGGGATGACTCAAATGAAGGCAAGCAATCGGTGGCTGTTTTAGTGGAATCCTTCTTGGTTGGTTAACTAGCAATTGATAAATTCCTTGTACCGTACTAAGGCGGAATCGTATTGTTGGCACACTCAACATTTCAGAACAAATTATTCAACTTTTAATTGCATCACTAATCCATAACTAATTAGCCTATTTAAGAAAACAGAAAACGTGGTACGCCTGTACGTTTGTTTGTGCGATAACGCTGGTGCCAAACAGCCAGCTCCCGATCTGATTTAACTCTGCTCACTCGGTGAAGTCATTTTAACTTGTGTACATATTTGATGATTACGGAATTACTAAATTACTGTAGTTTTAATAACTAAAGCACTTTAAATGCGTTAAATAAGAAAAAATTCGCTTTTTTTCCTTTTTTGCTTTAATCGCCTTTTTTGTTTTGTTTGCTGTTCAAAGCATCAGCTGTTTTATTAACAGTGCACTACAGCTACTCTCTGTTGTTGACACTCATCTCTCCAAGTTTCTTAATATTTCTGTTAACGATCCGTTGTTTACAGAATGCTGATCCGCCAATATATCAGTATGAGTGAGCGTAAATTCCCAAAGGACCTGAAACATGAAACATGGTTCATGTGCCTGAAAGTTGATTTCTGGCATTTTTTCACGCAGTCTCTTCCAAAAAAAAATTCGAAAATACTTTATATGGAAATGCAAAAATCCTTCAGCAAAAAAAAATCTCAAAAATTAATGCGATTTTTGACTAACTCCAAACGTGCATTTTTATACCCGAGCGCACTTGTGCACAAGGGTATTATCAAAGAACGTAGCCTACGAACGTTATCTACGTTCTTTGTTATAACTTTGTTCACTTAACGGTTGTTTGTAGCAGCCAAAACGAATCGAGATAGATATAGACAAATGTATACATAAATGATCAGAATGAAAAGAAAAATCGATTAAGCGGTGAATGTGTGTCCGTCCGTCCGTCTGGGTACACGATAACTGGAGTAAAAATTGAAATATCTTAACGAAACCTAGTACGTGTACTTCTTTCGTGCATACGACGAATGGTATTGAAACTGGGCAAAATCGGACAATAACCACGCCTACCTCCCATATAACGGTAGTTTTGAATACGAAAACTGCGATATTTTAGTAACTACTCAATCCTATTCACTCAAAATTGTTATTTACAATGATTTTCAGACGAAAAATAAGACTATTATAAATTTTTGGAAAATGGGCGTAGCCACGCCTACTTCTGATTACATGTGTATACCTTGGTAGCCGCTCCACCAATTTCCCCAAACTTGGCACAGTTGTTGGCCTTGTAAAGTGGGTAATAACCACGCCCACATCCAATATAACGGTAATTTAGAGAAATATGAAATCTTCGATAAATCAGTGAATACTATATCTAATTTATTAAAAAGTTTTGCTTGTAATAATTCTTAACCACGACATACGTTTATGATACAATTTTGGAAAATGGGCATGGCACCGCCCACTTATGATCACACATATGTATCTCGGTAACCTTCTACCAATTTGTATCAATCTCGGTATGGCTATTGTTCTTGTCACATAAAAGTAAAACATTGAAAGTTATTGAAATCGGACTAAAATTACGGCCACTTTTCATATAACGGTAAATTTCAGAAATGCTTGAAACTTGGATATTTCGAAATTTAAGGACACTAATTTACACAAAACTGATACTAACAACAATCCCTTGAAAAGAAGTATAATTATTTGGAATTTTAGTAAATGGGCGTGATACCGCCCACAAATGACTATATAAGTTATTCTCATTATATCTAACTGAACCTTCTATCAAAGATGTTTAAAATAGGCGGAAAACCACCATGCAGCGGGAGTTTTCGGTAAGGTGAAAATCATATTATTAATACTTGCGCCGGGTATTTAATATTCGGCTCCGCCCAAAACTTAGACTTTTTTACTTGTTTATACTAGAATTCAATGGCTACAAGACTGCATTCTCAAGAAAATTCTAAAAGAATCTGATTAAAAAGATAAAAATTTGCTGAATTTTCGCGAGTTTTGCAAAAAGTTTAGAAATTATATTTTTATGTTTTTTGTTGTAGAATGAATTATATTTTTACAAAAAAATTGGCGGAAAAATATTAGAATAAACATTGTTGCATATATTGTAAAAAAGCAACTGTGCCAATACTTTTTGCCGACAGTGTATGTATTTTCGTATGTATACCCAGGGTTTGAATTGCCGAGTGCAAAATAGCATACGCATAGCTTTTTGAAGTGAAACTTCTTAATTAAGTGGTTGGTAGTAATTTGGCAAATTCAACGGAAATTGCACGCGTAAATGGTGCAACGGAAGTTGCACTCGGAAATGGTTGGGGCTGAAACTAGTATATACTTCTTGATTATATGCACATGGTATAAAATTAACAAAAACTTGCCAATAAAACGTTAAAGAATAACACTTAGAAAAAGGCCAATACATGAAGGAGAGTAAAGGTAAGTACGTAGAGAGTAGATAAAGAAAAGGATAAAGGCAAAGGTAAAAATAAAAACAAAAACAAAGATGGGTGAAGATAATGGCAAAAATGATGATCAAGGTACATAAATTTCGTGATTCAATAATTAGTCTGTTCCTTTGAACTTCGGACTAAAACCTGTGGAATTGTCAAACTACAATTTTACTCTCTCAAATGAGAGTAAAAGGAGAACAGATGCAGAAGTGCATAGGAACGCAAAAAGCACTATTTCCTGTAAAAACGTCAGTCGGTTTGTTTATATGTCATTTGTACAACACTGATTTAGCTGAAATATCACTAAATAATTATTAAAATCAATACATATTCAAACATTTTGTTGTTTACTTCCTTTTTTTTACAAATATAAGGTACTTTGCTTTCACCGCTGTTAGTTTTTGCTTGCACATGCAAATCAGCTGATCGTTTGACACTTTTCATGAACTTACAGGAAAAGAAACTCCGGACTAAATCCTGTAACTTCTGACTGGGAACAGTCTCTCAGTTACTCTCTCAAATGTGTTCCCACTTA